CATTGATTTAGGTATTGCGAACATGTTTAATTATATATTGAAGTTAATTTTCTAACTTCGTCCGGCTGATTTGCATAAAAGAGGCACGATCACGTTTCCGATGTCAATTCAGGATTACAAAATGTAAAGTGTTCACCATAATTCGAAGTTTTGAGATATTGTCCACCTCGATTCATGAAAATAGCTTTTGTGTTTAGAAGGTACTGAAAATGCTGGCCAATTGTCTGTCCTTTTCCTTGTTCAATATATTGGTCAATTTCCTTAAGAAATTTCCTTTTATTAATTTGGTTTTCTTGTAGTTCTTTAAACATCTAATCTCAACTTTAAAGTTATGTATACAAATTATTTTAGTGCTTTGAAGCGAAGAGATCCAAGGTCCAGCCATCGGTCTCTTTAGCCGAGATCACCAAGGATCGAGTCTCATCGACAGGGGCAATACGGAGGGCAGGATTCCCAGGAATAAGTGGAAGGCAGTGGAATCCCAACTTTTCCTCAAATGACTGCGCATGGTACGAAAAAAGTCAGGTTCATCGCTCTGCTGCATGGACGGGGGCTGGTACCAGGGCAGCGTCAAAGTGGTGACCTGTGATAGTCAGCGGTCTGCTGACCTATATAGGAGGCGGCAAGCGAACTCGGCGAAGTCTACGAAGGGGTGAGCACTGTTGCACTAGACTGGTGTGACGTCTCCAGTAGTCCCCGAGCTCGGATTTGGCTCCCATCGCTGATCAAAGCGCCGGAGGACATGTTGCAGGATCGCAACCCGCCCCTCCCCACGAAGGACTGGAAAGACGTCAAGGTGGAGGAGCATGAAGGGGATGGTAACCAGGCGATCATGGTCCTAAACAAGGAGTCGGTTGCTCCAATCGAGGCTGCTCGAGGAGTGCTGAACTTCGGCTTTAGTGCCACCCACTTCAAAATATATAAAGGCGACTCCAACGCAGCCGGAAGCTCTGCCGGTAACCCATGCGAGAAGGTGCTGGCACCTGGTAGGCCGGAAGACGGCTACTCCACCGATTCTTCGCTGAGCAGAGAGATGCGAGCGCTTGGACCGGCAATCGAGGACGTGGACCTAAGCGATAGACAGGAGGCCGACGTCACTGTGGTGGAGGTTGCAGATGTAGATGCCGATAAGACTTCTGCAAATCAACCTACATCACAGTAAAGTAGCATCGGCTACACTATTGCTTCGCCTGACCGAAGGCGGAGCCGACCTGGTCCTAGTACAGGAACCTTGAAGCAAGGTTGCTTGCCAAAAGTCATCTTAGTATATTTCACAATGCACTTCACAATTACAGCGACGGAGATAGCAACGCAGTAAGCCTAGAGCTGCAAAGCGGCCCCATAAGGATTCTATCGGCCTACTTGGCTTTTGAAAAGGAAAACCCCCCAGATGCGCTGGTCAAAGGACTGAGGGATGCGAAAAGCACAAGAAAGGTTTGGCAATAGGCTGCGACGCCAACGCCTATCACACTCAGTGGGGTCGCCCAAACAATAACGATAGAGGTAAGTCTTTATTTGATTTTATTCTAAATTCGAACTTATTCTTATGCAATAGGGGCTATGCCCCTACCTTTATAACCAAAACCAGCCAAACGATGATAGATCTAACGTTGGTATCAGATTCACTCGCAGGCGCAGTCAAAAACTGGGCAGTCTCTGACGAGCACTCTTTTTCATAGAAACAGTATTGCCCCTTGATTCGCCCTTACTAGACGCATACTTTCCAGGAAGCCAACAAACAGGTCATCCTCCAGAAAGAAATTCCGAAAAAAGAATCAAATTAGATCTTTTCCTATCAGACCGCAACATTAAATGGTCCATTTAGAGTTTCAAATCATACAAATCGGTACGGTACGGTACGGGATAACACCGGCACAAATCCAACAAGCAGAAAAACAAGCTTTAAACTGGCTAAGAAAAATCTTCCACACCATCCTGGCGGTGGGAGAACTACCAACTGCATGGCGGGAAACGAAATGGGTTTTCATTCCCAAGGCAGAGAAGACCACCCACACCACATCAAAGGATTTAAGGCCAATAACCCTAACATCAATCCTGTTAAAAAGCTTTAAAAGAATGGCTTGTCATTACATATAAGAGCCCTTACACTGGTAGAAAAAACGGGTAGTGAAATCAAATATATTTTTATTTGATTTTTTTTACTTCCCTGCATAGTCATACTAAATATAAAAACCTTTCATTTAAATAAAAAACATATATAAGCCTTATGTCAAATATGTAAACATTCAAATCAAAGTGATTTTTATTTAAAAACAAGTTAGTCACATTTAAACTAAATGTTGCCATCTTGGTTTTAACTATTATAAAAAGTATGTATTTGATGGTTTTTTATATTTCAAGTAAATACTTTTTCAATTTGTTCGGAAAATTTACTCTTTTATTTTGAATATAGAACGTTTTCAAAATTGGTATTTGACCAAATAATTGTAAATTATAAATCAAATTACATAGGTATGTATATGTATTAAGTTTGTGACCCATATACACAACATAATTTAAATAATTAGTAATTTTCAAAAGAACAATATATATAAATAAAATAAAAAATAGTATATATTATAATATAAAAATAAATAATAAAATAATATTTAAAGAAAAGGGTTTTAGTTAAGGCTGCCCAACCACCGGCAGCCTCTTTCTATTTCCATGACAATTCTCATAAGATTTGGCTTTGTAATTTACTATTTAAAGTACAAAAACATGCTTAGCCAAAGAAAAAATGTGCGTGCATTGTAAACGCTGGGCCGTAACCAAAAACTACAACCAACGGCACAATGTGCATACTTACACATTCAGACAAATTACAGATAAATATGAACAAGCCCTTTTGTTCCAAAAAAAAGTTTCACTTGTGAATCACCTTGTGAATCCCGTGGGACATGTCCTCTTGCACAAGTGAAGAACAAGTGACGCTCCATATAGAAAATTGTATGGGATGTCCGCATTTTCACAAGTGAAAATTCAAATGAAAATTTTTCGAAGTCCCACGGGATTTCACTTGTTCCTTATACTCATTTTTCGTATGGCCTGTCACGTGCCAGTGACAAGTCCCAAGTGAAATCACTTGTGAAAATAAAATTTTTTCCATGAGTTTTCACCTATGAAATAACTTGCAAGTGACATGTCCCAAGTGAAGTCACTTGTGAAAATCAGAAATTTTCCTATGAATTTAACATACATAAATTTGTATAAACTTTTAAATATATTTTAATTAAATAATGTTATTTAGGTTTTCTGTTAAAGGACAATTATTGTTAGTAAGCCTAATTTTATGTTACGTTAATTTGCTTTTTACATTGGTCATCGCCTTTCTTAAACCTTTGTCCGGGTCCTCCGAATCCTTGGCCAACGCTCCTGATAAAATTTATGGTCATATGCTTAAAAAATGCGTTTTATTTGTTTATTTGCATATTTACCTTTTAGAGCTGTGTTTCACCCTGTGCAGGATTTTTATTGGCGCAAAACATTTCATCATCCACTTTCGGCTAACGGAACCCATTGAATACCTTAATACTTTAAACTAAGATCAATATACAACATCTTCAACTTAATGTAACACTTACCTGACTTTGTTATTTTCACTTTAAAAAACGAAAGAAGTAAATCTGCTGCGCACAACTTAAATGGCTTGCTTCCCTTTCAATAACTCAAACAGAATGAACCAAGTATTCCTCTCACCCCTTTACATGATTTCTTTTAATTTCTCTTCGCTGTTGGCGCGTGCCACTGCACCTATACCCTTTCTAAAGCGAAAAATATCCGACTACATAATTTTTGCTTTTTTGAGTAAAAAATACAAAATGAATTCTTTAAAAATGGTACTATTAAAATGTTTTAAATAAATTTTAACTAACTTAATTTCTATAACTTAGTTAAAAAATTATATTGTAATATTAATGTATAATACGTAAGCATAACATTAAACGTAAATTCAATTTACTTAATTTTACTATAATCAAATAATTTACTTTTATAAACAAATATTAGTTGTTTTTTTCGATATACAATAATGCTCCTAAAATATTAGGGCATTCACATGTCGCTGCGCCACGAAAATTTTTCCGGCGAAACATTAGTCGCTAGCCGGACATAACGGAGAGACTCAAAAGAAATAACGGACCTGCCGAAATTTGTCTCTGAGAGCGCCGAGTGCAGGCAGATTATAAGACAAAGAAAAAGAGGGAAGCTCCGAATATCTGGCTCTCTTTGTTGCACGATCGTTTTCGTAGGCAGTCTTCTACACTGCGCCGACTTCTCTGCTGACGTCAACAGCGGCACAGCGTTTTAGGCACAAAAAAAAAAAAAAGAAGCTTTTTGCCTTGAGTTATGTCACCGCGTCCCTACTGCAGAACTGAAGGGAGCAAAACGGCAAACGCAAGCGCGTCTTCTCCTTCCATTCGCATTTGTACATTGGTGGCCAAGAAAATATGTATTTGCAGAAGACAAAAATATTTCTTGTGTACCGATGTTTTAACAAAAAGATATGTTCTTATAATATTTAAATATAATAAAATAAAATAAATATTACTAAATTGACATATACAAGTTTGTTGGGGCGGGGTGGCTTGATCGATGAAATAGTTGAAGCCCCAAGATCGAATGGTACCCAAAACACACTGGAGTACTTTGGGGTTTTTGCGCGACGTGCGTAGATGTTTATTGGATCACTTTGAAACAAGAACTACTTAAGCCTAACTTAACTTAAGCGCTCAAGAGCAGAGCGGAGACTTAGGGGAGAGATGGAGAGGGAGAGCGGACGGCAGTGCCGCTCGACACTGCCTCCTGAAATTGAACGCCCTTTTGGTGTGAACAAAGTTATTAAACCTAACGACTTATTTGTACATATTTTCTTATTTTCTTCCCCATGACTTTGACCTCTATTGTAAAGTAACGGCACGCGACAGATTTTGTGCGGCCTTTTTGCACACATGCATATGTATGTATGTATATACGAAATATTATGGCACTCCGCTTTGTAGCGAATCCCGCGATCACTTCGAAGCAAGCGGTTCTCCTGATCGGATGTAAAAGTGATTAATAGAGCTCGGTAGACAAGAGTTCATTTAAGTGTAATAAAAAAGTGAAAAGTACAGAAAAAAGGTGAGTCAAATAAAAATACAATAATTACTTAATATTAAGGCATGTGCAAATTAAATTTGTCGTTAATAGATGAATTAAAAAAATTTATGATTTATTTTTAAAACTTGGGTGATAAACCTTTATTCTTAAATTCAATTTATACAAGACACTTTTTGAAAATTGTGAACCGATCGCGGTCTCGGATAAAATAGGACTGAATCTTAATTCTAAAAAGTTCTCCAATGAACCTCGGCCAGAAGCTTTCCTTTTCTTAAGCTTCCAGAACTTTAATTTTTGTTTAAAATAAAAGCTTATGCTGAAACTGTCGCATCTCGTTGTGAAATGAAATTATGCTGACCGATGCAATTTGATTGAAATTCGGAACGCAATATGTTCTGAACTTAGAACGCAATACTGTGGGCTTTGAACGGAAAAGTTTGGGCTCCGAACGGAAGCTTGTGTTTACTTTACGATTGGTTTATTTATCTTAGCAGGACGGTCAAGCGCGGCCCTCGAAGTGAATGGCAAAGGCAAAGGCAGAATCTTAAACAAAGGCAAAGGCAATGTCGCTGAAGGCAAGGGTAACATAGCTGAGATTGAATTCAAAAATTTGTTTATAAATTCCATAAGTGGAACCGTTTCACGGGTTGGATAACTTGCATGTCCACGTTTTTTTTGTCGCATTTTTCCTTTTTGAGTTTCTTCTTTGTTGTGCGCGTTATTATTTCGTGAAAATTTAGATAATACATTTAACAAAATAAACAAAGCTCAAAAGAAAATTTCATTTAAAAACAATAAAATATATACGATTGGATAATAAACATGAAGTGGATAAAAAAACGCGAAAGAAATGAAGAATATGAAAGGAAATTAAGTGAAAACGCGCGCAAACTAGATAAAAAGAGTACGAGCACGAGAAGGAAAACACTAAGAAGGCGCAAAAAAGACGTTTTGCTGCCGTTGCATTCGGTTCTGTGGCGTCGCAGTCGTTTCATCTATTTCCTTATAATATTTTTTGGTTCTTTCAAGTGATTTTTCTTTAAATCTAACTAATTTTGAAATTTAAAAAAAAATAAAAACGAAATAAATTAAAACAATATTTTTGTCTTATTTAAATCCCTTTATATAAAAACACCTACTCTAAACTTATTATAAAACTAATTAACTTTTTCTTTATAGATACAAACTTATTTCAACATATTGTACCCTGAGAAAGAAGCAATTTTATATATGGGACCCGTTTAAGGAAAAGGTTTAAACTATTAAAGACAGTTCAGAAAACTGTACCACTTGGTAATGTATAATTTTTTTAAATTTATAAATTTTATATTTTAATGATAAGCTTGACTTTTTCTAAATTAGGACTTTACCATAAATCTAATAACATATTCTGATTCACAGATTACAAGGACTACATTTACACCGTATTGCTCACATCTGTCATCTTAAATAATTCGTGGACCGTCATTAAAGGAACCAACAAGCGAAAGAAATTATCACTACTATGACTCGCAGGAAAGTTTTGTACGCACATGCAGGCGCACGAATGTGGCAAAACAAAAAATTGTGTGATTATAAAAAATATGTATAATAATTTATAATATGTATATGTACGAGTATATATGTATCATATAAATTCTAGGAGTTACGTTAAGTACAAATGTATTAAAAACAATAGTAATGATAACGTGTTAGCATGGTAAAAAATAGAGTTTAAGCAGAACAATTGTTTGATAATATGTTTACGTTTATTTTCAATAAAAATACATACTTATTTGGGTCTTTATTAAATATAAATCACGCTTGTTTTAAACTACTGATTGGTTTAAATTGAATATGCACCATATTAGTATGGCTAAAATACTATATTTAAATCAAACATAAAGTACAGTTCTTTTAACGGGGATTATATTTAATTTAAATACAATTTGTATTTATATTAAAGTTCATCCCAGTCTGATTTAAATATGAGAACTATTTAATCCAAATAAAAATATGCTGATTTTTAAGGCGGGCTATAATTATTTTAAGTATAAAAACCATTTAAATGAAATGTTCTATTTACTGGAACTAAATATGAAAATATTTAAAATAAATATAAAAATATAATACTTTTTACTATGGAACATATTTAATTTAATTATTTTGTAGTATTTTAACATATTTGAACGAAATTAAAAAATCGTTGGACTTACTACGAAATTAATCAAAAAATAATTAACTATTTAACGTTTTCGTTTTTACGATTTTCATGTTAGGATCTAAACCGCTGGGAAAAATAGTTAAAACGTTGGCGAAATAGTGACATTTACGATGTTTTTTTTACCAGTGTATCGACCCAAAAAATATCAGAGGCACAACACCCTTATACCAAACGTTAGTCAACCGAATGGGCGCTACACTAGGTTGCAAGCTGTATCGAATCACTCAGCATCAAGGAATACACATTGATCGCCTTCCTCGACATAGCCTTCAACAACGTGCTTCCCATAGCAATAACAGAATCCCTCTCGGAGCTAGGGGTTGAGCCGCCAATGGTGGGGTTGATCCATAAATTGCTGATAAGCAGAATAGTCACAACCAACAACTAAAAATACTCAGTTTCACCTCAAACTTCTTGGAGATAATACGTGTTACCTCTGAGCACCCGTAGTGCTAATCGCCAACAGCAGCGCCCGCTAGCTTACTAGCAAAAAAACAAACAAGTGCACAAAACAAAATTCGCAACAATCAAAAACAACAAACAGCCCAATAAAAACAACAACAATGGATAAACCGCCTGATATAGGTAGAACATCAATATACAACAAACACCTAGGCGAACCAAAATACATTGTAATTAACAGAACCGACAATAAGTCTTTTGAAAATGTATCACCCCTTCTAATTAAAAAAACCATCGATTTCGCTTGCGGGGGAGAAGTGGAGTCATGCAAAAACACTCGATCGGTCTACTTATTGGTTAAAACTAAGAACAATTTAAGGCAAATAAGTTACTTAGAATTACAAACATGGCAGACACTGAAGTAAAAGCCACCGAACACAAAACTTTGAACTTTTCTAAGGGGGTCATACTGCAACGAATTACGCAACATAGACGAAACCGAAATACTAAACGAACTAAAACCTCAAAAAGTCACTGAAGTGCGAAAAATCATAAAAAAACAAGATCAATCTTTAACAGAAACTGGCTTTATTATAATAACATTCAAAACCCTTACTCTCCCAGACTCCCTGAACTTTGGATACGAAAAGATTCGCGTACGCGCATACATCCCACTCCCATTAAGGTGCAGAAAATGCCTACGATTTGGACACCCGACTCCAACCTGCAAAAGCCCCGAAGAACTTTGCAAGAACTGCTCCGAGAAAGTTCACACAGAAGAAAATGAGAAATGCAACAATGAAAAATGATGCATTAACTGCAAACACATTTTCGAAACAGACGCAAAACACAGCCCACTAGACCGCAGTTGCCCAACATTTATAAAACAAAAAAAACTGATCACAATGAAAACTACACAAAAAGTGGATCACAAAACTGGACTAGAACTATACTACACTCGTCGCAACCAACATATTAGCAACAGCTTTGCACCTGTCCTATCTAAACAACAGACCAACAAAACAACAACAAACACAAAAACAACACCCACACCCCAGCACACAAAACAAAGCAATGACACGCAAGCAACACACGAACATCAAAATAGAAAACTAATATCATACCAAGACCTCTCAACAGATACCCCCACACCAACTCAATTTACAAATACCACACCACCCCCACAAGCTTCACCCGCTCACCAAACAACTGATGTTATCAGCATGGATCTCGACCCCCTACCACCTCAAAAGACAACATGGTAAGCGAAAGGGCTCAAGATCTGAAACTACGCATTTTCTCCAAGGACAAAAACAAGACACTAACAACCAACTTAAAACCCACCAAAACCCCACAAATCACTGCAAGCTCGAGAAATAACCCTTAGCGATGATTTTGACGCGGTATGCATAGAACTGAACTCAAAACTTAAATTCAGAATTATCTCAGCCTACATCGCACCTAACAAATCTTTCTCACTGCAAAACCTTCAGGCCGTACTAGACACCTCACACATACCCACCTTTATCACTGGCGACTTTAACGGTTGGCACAAAAACTGGGGCTCAAATCAAAACAACTCAAGGCGAAAAATATTAGAGAAATTTATAACCCAATCAAACTATATCTTATTAAACGACATGTCTCCTACTCACTTTAGCACACACAACTCACTCACAATGCTACAAATCGACAGCACATGGCAAACAGAAGATAATCTGTTTGGCAGCGACCACTTCCCCATAATAATTACCCTCTTCTCCTCCAACACATCGAACCGCCAAGTCACTCCACGTAAGCCTACATTTTTAACCGACAAAGCAAACTGGCTAGAATTTTGCAAGCTAACTGAAGAATACTCCGCACAAAGACAACCAAGCACAAACATAAACAAGGAAGCTGCAACAATTCACAAAATCATCCCTTCCAGCGCCCACAAGGCAATACCCCAAACACACCCGATAAGAAAGACCCAAAATGTACCATGGTGGAACAATAACCTTAGCCAATTGAGAGTAGACAAAATGAAGAAATGGAACGATCTAAAAAGAAACATAACTACAGAAAACATCCTGAAGTACAAAAAAGCAAATACACTGTTTAGACTAACACTAAAACAAGATAAAAAACAAAGTATAAACAACTTCACTTCACAAATCTCACCCGAGACACCCCCAAAAACAATCTGGAGCAACATCCGACGATTTTGCGGACTCAACCCTCAAAAAAACATACACTGCAACCACAAATCAAAACACCACCCACAAACTAGAAATCGCAGACTTATTTTGCAAACATTTTTCAGAAATTTCATCCGATACAAATTTTACCACTACATTCATACACCAAAAGCAAACCTCACTTAATAACACACATACCCTGTCATACGATCCCAGCAAAAGAGCAATAGAAATAAAAAAAACCCATAACACCAATAGAATTCTCAGCAGCACTAAACACACTAAAAGGGAACACACCCGGACTGGACAGAATTAACTATACAATGATAAAAAACATAGATAAAACAACAAAAATAGAATAATAAACCTGCAAAACTCAATACTAAATAACTACATCCCACAAGCCTACAAAAATAGTCTGATAATACCAATAATAAAACCTAAATTCATACCGGCCAATCTCACTAAACTCATGCCTATCAAAAATTCTGGATAAAATTATAGCAAAACGACTGTGGTGGTTTGTACTAAACGACAAACTTATCCAAAACAGCCAAACTGGTTTCAGAGAAGGTAAATCAGTTATGGACAGTCTACTGATAGTTGACCATCTATTAGCAAGAGCTATCTCGCAAAAGCTTTCGACAGAATTGGAACCCACTCCATACTCATACTCGCCATTTGGAAAACAGGACCAAAAATAACAAACTAAATAAAAAATTTTATGACAAACAGAAAAATACTGGTTCGTATCAACTCCGACCTCTCCCCCTTTCAGCCCATCCAAAACGGCATACCTCAAGGCTCTCCACTTTCCGTGATCCTCTTTGTGACAGCATACAACCAACTAGCAGAAAAACTCACTCTTCATCCCAACATTAGCCTAAGCGCATATGCGTACGACTTTAACTTGATACTAAAACTAAAAAACAGGAAAAATATCAATGTAAACCTTAACCCCATCATAACCACCATTATAGACTGGGCTGAATACTCTGGCGCCAAGCTCTCGACCACAAAATGTAAACACTTGCACGTTTGCAGAAAGCACAACTGCAACTGCACTTTATCCACGGGTAGCATACAAATACAAAACGAAACATCACTAAAAATACTTGGCGTACATTTCAATAACAAATACAGGTGGAATACGCACACAGAACTACACTCACACAGCCTCAAGCAATCAATTAACATAACAAAATGCCTCTCAAGCACAAAATGCAATACGTCTACACTTCTAAACCTCACAAAAGCAACCATCATCGCAAAAGCAGACTACGGCCTTCCAATCTACGGATATTGCCCACAAACAACATTACGAAAAATAAAATCACCAATAAACACTGCCTTCAGAACTGCTCTTGGCGCATTCAGGACGACACCTATCGACAACATACTTTACGAAGCACGCGCAGACCCACTGGAAGATAGACGTGACCTCCTAACAACAAAAATTATAAAATCTTTGATTAACGCCAAAAACTCCCCAATAATAAAAATTCTTAAATCATACCGACCACCAAAACGACCACTATACAAATCAACAATATACCGCATAATAGAAAACTCCAAAACCCACGACCTCCCCCTCAAACAAGCTACTCAACGTGCACAGACCACACCACCCTGGAACACTGATATGTTAAAAATCGACACAAGGCCAAGTACATACAACAAACAAAACACACAAATTTTTCGAAAACTATTCACAGAAATTAAGAAAAAAGACAATCAGAAATTCACCTACATTTACACAGATGGATCGCACTCAAACACAATTACTAGCCTCGCAATCACAAACGAAACACACTGCATAAAAATAGGCCTTCTACCACACTACTCGTCAGTGATTTCCGCTGAGCTACTAGCAATAGTAGAGGGAGTCGAGATATTAAAGAACAAAAGAGGCAAGTTTTGCATATGCTCTGACTCTCTCTTTGCCATCGACGCA